GCTGAAAAGGGTGGGGGGGAACAAAAAACAACAACAGAACCATACGGTATTGTAACGGAGATATCAGTTTATGACTGGGATTCAATAAAAATAATGAAATAATAAATGAAATATATGACATCAGAAAGAGGCTGAAGACACCATGAAAAAAATATGATAAAAAATGAAAACAAAAAGGAAACTCATACTTAACATCAGGAAGAGACAGTTGACATTTCTAGGACATATAATAAAGAAAGAGGGCTTGGAAAATCTGATACTCAAAGGACAGAGTAAAGGCAAGAGGGGCAGAGGAAAATAACGCATAACATACATAGTGACCTTGAGTAAATGGATGGCGAAACAGTGTTAGGGGAAATTTTAAAAAAGACAGAATTTATTAAGACCTACAAAGGACAGGAAATTGTGGAGAGCCACGACCACCCACATCCTGAGGCAACACAGTTCATAAAGAAGAGAAAAAAAGGACATTAGCAGGATATTCATTTCAGTATCTGAGTCAAAAATTTGTTCTCTAGTTTCTGGTGTCTTTTTTTTTGCATTTTTTTTGTTACTTTTCAAATTCAAATATAAATATAACGTATAAGTGACATCATGTGTCGAACAGTTTCAAAGTGCTTGACAACCATGGAAACGTGTACATAAAATATTTTATATGGACGATAAATTTTTTATACACATTTAAAAAAAACAGATGTTCAAATTGAGATTGAAACTCAAATAGAGACTGAAATTTAAATCGAGATTGTTTCATATTTTGTCCAAAGGGATGAAACAAAAGCTGAGATTGCACCAACTGCAGATGTCAGCAGTTAGAGAAGAAATTCCCGAAAGCTTTCCGTAAAATTCCCCAAGCATCCAATACCTCAGTTATCTCCTGTTTCAACATTAAGTATATAAAAATACAAAAAACAAACAAAAAAACACTAACACTATGGATAATAATGTATAATGTCTTCTATGATTGTTTCATCATCCTGTTGAATTTGATACATGCGGTAAGATGACAAATTGGACCATAAAGAAATGAAAATTATATATGATCCTTTTTTGATCGGCATGTTATGCAGCAGTAAAACCAGTTAAAAAATAACTTTTCTATCCGTCTTTCCCCGCTTGACTCACAAACTGAAATGCTTTGGTTAAAGGTATTTGTAATATGTCTGTCATTGTATATTTAGACATACACGTTTTATTTTGCATCCGACGAGCTGCATTCGCTGGTCCTCAGACTTCATGAGTTCAAGCGCCCTACGAGGCTGGCATCCCGCTCTCACTATTGAAACTATTGAATGTAGCCGTCTCTTCTACTCCAATAGCTTCATATCTCGCACCTCTCGCCTGTGGAACTCCCTTCCCTATTCTTGCTTCCCTGAGGGCTATAAACGCCAACTATTCAAATGTAATGTCAATCGACATCTCCAGTTGCCTTGATCTATCCAATATCCTTCTCCTTCTCCTTTCCTCTATCACTCCTATCTGATCTTGCTCCAAATCGTCATAGTGGCTTCCCGCCTTGTTTGGGGTGAAACGCTTAAAAAAAAGACTCTGTGAAAAACATCTACGCTTAAGTCAATGGTTTATCATGCGACTCACAGTGAAGATAATGAAATAAAGAAATCAGAGTGAAATTGATATACATTGTAAGGAAAAACGTCATAACCTGGCTGTGAAAATGCCTTGGTACAAGCATAAAATATTGTGTGAACAATATGGATTTTCTTCGACGGTTGTCTTTCCATCGTACTTGATTACAGGTCATACAGGAAGATGATAAGTTGGATAAAAAAAAAATTAAAACCAACTGAAAATGATGCGTGAATCTCATTGTTCGTCATGTTATACAGCAGTAAAAACCGTTAAAAATATATTTCCCATTAATCATCAAAACACTTTTTCAGCATGACTCAAAAGATGAAATGTATTAGTTAAAGCTATTTATCTCTCATTTCCTCTTTGGATATACAGTTTTATTTTTATCTTTTTTAATTTTGCAGTCAAATCCTACAAGCCAATGGCTTACAACCGATTTGAAATAAAAAGCCATCGTTCATGGTACAACGTTTTTTGTCATCAAATATCCACAAAACCTGCAAAACATTCGTAATTCTGTTTGATGACTGTTTTTAATAAATTTATTTTAATAAATAATGAAATTTATAATACTGCTCATTGATCTGCATTCTTTTTCGTGATAATACTCTTCTACATCATATCAATCCTAACACCGGTCTTAGGTGTTATGGAGAGGCACCATCAACATCTCTCAGTTATTTCTATGCAAAAGAATATTATTTTAAAGGAATACACTCTTCATCTATTAATGACATAGCTTCGAAAATGGAAGCAAGATATAAAGATAATCTTCAAGACCTTTTGCTTTCCAGCATGTTGTTATTTTTATCGCTAAAGAAGCGCATTTGAACTGATTTCAGGGGTGTATGCTCTGAATATGTTATTTTAATCAATTCATCCCAAGCAAGGCGATACTGCCACTAACACGCAGTTTGTTACTGGGAATGAAGGAGAATGAGAAAACGTTAGAAGGAATCGGAAACCCAATCCGAAACAAGAAACAGGGGATAAACCCCTATTCTAGTTCAAAAGATCGGGAAGAGAGTGAACCTGATGATAGGCAGAGCTGTCTATTCCTATTGAGAAAAAAAATTAAATATCAGGTCATCCCATAAGTTCTGTCCGAATTTTGAATAAAGAAAACAAGTGACCAAATGTTACATTTAATTATAGATTCAATCAACAATGTATTTTCCATGATTATCTATGACTTTCTTCCATCTACATGATTATCTATGACTTCCTTCCATGATTATCTATGACTTCCTTCCATTTTACAGTAATGGAATTAGTAAGCTTTTTAGCTTACTAATTCCATTACTATAAAATTCTTTTGGCTTTGATTCGAAGAACTCACAAATGTCAGTTTTAACCTCTTCCTGTGTTACAAAATCTGTTTCTTCCAAATGATTCTGTAAGCTACGAAACAAATGGTAGTCTGAAGGAGCAAAATCGGGAGAATAAGGTGGATGAGGAATTTTCTCCCAACCAAGTTCTTCGATCTTTTGTAACGTGATTCTTGCTGTGTGGGGTCGCGCATTGTCCTGATGAAACATCACCCCTTTTCGATTCACTAGTGCAAGTCTTTTTCCCTCAAAGCTTTGTTCAAACGCTCTAATTGCTGACAGTATATTTGAACATTAATTGTTGCATTAGGTGGTAAGAATTCAAAGTGGATTATTCCTTGGCGATCCCACCAGATTGAAAGAAGAACCTTTTGCCCATGAAATTCTCTTTTCAGCTGTGGTTGGGGTCCTTCCCCTTTACCAAGCCACTGCCTAAGACACTTAACATTTCGATAAAAGATCCATTTTTCGTCGCCAGTCACAAGTCTATCCAAAAAAGGCGAAACAATTTGCCGAGAATGGAGAGAAGAGCAGATGTCAACTCGAGATTTGAAGTTGTTTTCAGACAATTCATGACGCACCCATTTTCCAAGTTTAGGAACTTTTCTAAGTTGTTGAAGATGACGATGAACAGTTGTTTGAACTGAGAGCCACGGCCAATTCCTCAACTGATAAAGCAGGATTTTCTTCAAGGGCTGCTTCAAGAAGCTTTTCATCAAACTCAACTGGACGTCCGGTTTGATCTTCATCTTCAAGGATGAAATTTCCACCTTTGAATTTTACAAACCATCTTCTGCAAGTTCTTTCATTCACACATTCCTCTCCATAAACTGAGTGAATGTTTCTTCGGCTGCTGAGTTTCCTTTCTTGAACTCAAAGTATTATTTGCCTCAAATGATTCTTGGGTACTTCCATGTTAGCAGGGTTTTAATCAAACAAAATTTAATTTTATTGTTCTCTGAAATAAAATTTGATCAGTTTAAATGCATCTAAACATAAAAGTAATGTTCAGCTCCATTAGACATTATAAAATTCTCTTTAAATTTCGTTCATTTTTAAAAAAGGTAAAATTCGGACAGAACTTATGGGATGACCTGATAGAAAAAAAATTTCAGTTGTTTAGGTGGGGGTGTTAAAAGAATAGTGTTGAAGTAGACTTTAGAAGAAACCGGAAATCCAGATCTAAACAGGTAAAAAGGGGTAAACCCCTGCTACTGCTCAAAAAAATGGGGAGGAGTGTGAATGGGACAGTAAGATTCTGTTACTGAAAAAAACCCAAAGATAAATAGGGATAAAGGCAGTGCACAAAATCATTATGCACACGGAATTTCCAAATATTGCTGAAATATTGCTTATGCATGAAGTTTTCAACATCTTAGCCAATTATTAAAAGCTTGTTCATCATTTTCCTTTCGATTCTCTCAGTGGCGCCCTCTTCTGACGAGCACTGTTTCAGCAGTCGACGGCAAATTCTCACTTATTTACCACTTCAACAAAAGAAAGCCTTTCAAATTGAGCCCTGGGTCATTGTAATTGTAATTTTTCTACTTAAGTATTAAACAATAATTTAAAAACAGGAAAACTTCGTTAGAAACAAAGAAAGGAGGATTCGACTGTTACATATTATCAGTCCTCCTATATGGTAGTCAGTGCTGGACAATCTCCTCACAGATGAAGAGACTTGAAGGAAGAGAAATATGGTTCTACAGAAGGATACTGGGAATACCATGGACTGAATATGTGAGCAATATGAATTTTTGATTAGATGTAAACAGAAAGAAACACTTAAACTTAACATCAGAAAAGCTTTCTTTTTTGTTTTTTTTGTTTTTTTTTTTAATACAGCTTGTTAACCACTTGCAGGTTATTTAAAGCCAGAAAATGTTTTTAGATTTTAAAAATGTTTTTGAGATAATAACGATTTGCTGGCACAAGTCTTACTAATTAACCCATAGATAGAGGGAAAAGAAATGGATTCTTACCTTTTCCAAAGGGTGACGATAACGAACCCGACTGTCGGCTCTCGGATTTCCAATTTCGAGCCGATATCCATTTAACCACCCACACATCCAAAATTAGAACACCTGGTATTTGCAAGCGGTCACTCATCTAGGTACTGGCCAGGCTCGACCTTGCTTAACTTCATGATCGTACGAAAACCGGTGTTTAAACTTGAAATAGCCGTAAGCAATATCAGAAACAGACAGTTGAAATTTCTGAGACACACGAGAGCGTAGAAAATCCCATTGAAGTGATATTCACAAGACATTGAAGGCCTGATGGACAGAGGAAAAAAAAACGCATCACATACGTAGCGAGCTCGTGTAAATGGATGGCTAATTAACGTTTAGGAGAGATAACAAAAAAGAGCAACAAAGGACAGGAAATCGTAGAGCGCCATGATCGCCAACGTCCTGAAAGAACATGGCACATAGAATAAGAAGAAGAAAGGAAAATATTTTATTCTATAATGATTAATTTTTTTCCTTTTAAGTAGGTGTATAAAAGTAAGTCTCCATAGAATTTATAAAATATGAAACCATTTTGCCAAATAAAATGTATGAGAATTTGTTTCCTAAAATTACTTTTTCATCCACCTATTGACATGCTTTGGCAAAACTTGGGATAAATTGAGATTTCCATGGAAAATGAAAATTAGAAAAAAATAAAAATTACATTTGGTTAAATTTGAAAGTGAATAAAATAATAATTACTCCAAGATCCATTTTTCACAAGGAATTGGATTATGGTCTTGAAAATATGAAAGTTAGCAGACATTCAGCACCCTGTAGGAGCCCCAGAGGGCCTTATCTTATTTTACCGCAAGAAGGTAGATTAAGTTTGTCAGGCTAACTTTCCATATGATCGCTGTTTTATAAGCGTATATGTAAATGTTCACGTATATGTAAGTAGGTATAACATAATAAAATGTTCAAATCAACACTTGGCAAATGTCAAGCTGCTAGCTTATTGATCCATCTTCAAATAAACGGACACACAATGTGAATCAAGTGTACCGGTCTGCGCATTCGAGAAATTAATAGGGAGAACCTGTGTCCCCACCCGTTCCGCGTGCTTCAGACCACTTGTTCATAATTTGTTAAGAGTTTGTTCCCCACCCCACACACACACACACACACACACACACACACACACACACACACACACACACACACACACACATATATATATATATATATATATATATATATATAATGTATGGATAATTGATATATATATATATATATATACGTATTTATATTTGCAAATATATATATATACGTAACTGTAACTGGCGTTTGTTCTATTTCCCGTTTCCATTTTCTCATATTTTTGCATGTAAGAGTACTTCCATGAATAAAAGCGATATTAGTCTGAAGAAGATCCTTATCGGAAAGAAACACGTCACTAGGAAATATGAATTAAAATTTACCCAATATATATATATATATATATATATATATATATATATATAGGTATGCATATATAATATGTATAGGTACACATAATATGAATGTCAATATATATATATATATATATATATATATATATATATATATATATATATATATATATATATATATATATATATATATATATATATATATTGATATATATATATATGTAATATAGATATATACATATTAATTGATATATGTAATATATTGATATAAACATATTGATATATACATATATGATATATAATAATATATAATATGTATGTCAATATATATTGATATATACATATATAACATATAATCCAATTTTAATATTTCGCTAATTTGGTTTTATGCGACACATGTAATTGGAATGGCATTCTACATCATTTATTTTTTTTGTCTCCCCTGCAATGACAAAAAAAAAAAAAACTACTCCTGGATGATCAGAGATGCTATTGGATGTAGAAAAAGTCCCCAACTGTTTCTTTTTGAAAACTAGACTCTAAACAGATTGTTGAAACCTATTTTTGCCGGTAAGTTTTATCCTTATATATATATATATATATATATATATATATATATATATATATATATATATATATATATATATATATATATATATATATATACTTGAATGCCTTAAATGTATACAGGAATATCCGTGAATATATTCATTTTTTGGTTTGTCATTTTATGGAGGCGTGGTGATGTCAAATTACCTAATTGTTTACGTATTTAATCCGGAAGTTCCTCGATTTACATCTTCTTACTTATCAAATTTGAACTCTATCGCTATTTCCATGGCAAATGTTCAGATGAACTACATTTCTTAGTTCCGCCATTTCAGACCTTTACAGCTAGGATCCGCCATACCACGTACATAGAATCGATGATCATCATTTTCTTTTCGTTCTCCATTGGTAAGAAGGAAATTCCACTCAGACAGCTTCTTCCAGAAAACCACTACTTTGTAGAAAAGAATGCTAAGAGAATGCTTCCCCGATCACTACAATCTTAACCTCTCCCGGCCAGGGTCAACCATTATCTACCCTACATATCCTCATAATCTACACTTAGTTACTCCTTTTGCGCTAATATAATGAGCACGTTCAGTGGCCCTCTATCTTGAATGGCTCTTGAGCCTTGAACGTTCTGAAAATTAAGAAAAAAAAAGTAAAATTAAAATATACTTCTGCTGCAGTCTGACTTTACAGCTAAAGTATTTAGGGCGGTGTGTTTTGCTTACATATATTTGCGCAAGCGCGTTCGGTTCTAAGCGTTACACAGCCAAGTTAAATTTTCAGGTAGGAATGCTGACTTTCAAAGAAATCAGACCCTCTCCACATAGAACATTGATACAACATAACCTTTGTTAGTTCTTTTCATCTGCTCTTATGCTTGATTAAATTAACTTTAGCCAAAATTTATGTACTACGTGTTTAAGGGTGAATGTGTTTTTTTGCGGTTATATTTACGAAGAACATTCCAGAAGTTTTTAGACTTTTAGGAGAGGCAGTTAAAACTATCCTAGATTATTGTAATGCTAGCATATTATTGCTATATATCGAATAAGCTGACCTGCAAACTTTTGTCATCTCAAATTGAAGGAAACGGCTGTAAGATCTCTTTGAACACACCCAACTAAACACTGCTTGTCACGGGGGACTAGTTTGCAGAATGCAGTCGGGACGTGAAAAAAAAAATTATAAGCTCACTGTGCAATAAAGTTTCATGTTAACAGATGTGGCATCAAAACTGTAATTAAGCATCCCTACAGTCCAATTCCTACTCCATGTGACTTTTGGTTAATCACCAAACTGAAGAAGAACCTCCGGGCAGTCGTTTTGAAGACACTGAGAAGATGAAAGAGTCTGGGATAAGGGTCATGGACTCCTTCATTTTGGATGATTTCTATGGGTCCTTCACAAAGTGGCTGAAGCGCCAGAACAAATGAATTGAAGTCAGAAGATCTTTCTTTGAAGGAGGTTAGACCGTTGAAGTTTGAAATTAATAAATGTCTGCCGAAAAAGTCTCAAGACATTTGAAAAGCACCTCGTATGTATATGTTTGTGTGTCTGGAGAGTAATGCTATGATGATGTTCACATGGAGAGGGTCTTATCAGTTATATGCCATGCATGATACACGCTTAGGCGATCATGTATCTTTCGATTCATGACTGACGAGGTAGATTTTCTCTCGCAGTAGGTTGCCATTTCTGTCTGCGGTAGACCAGTTGCCATCCAAGGCTATAGAACCCAGTCTGAGTATTTATCATTTCACCCACAGGAAACGAATATGGCACAAGGCCGGTTTTATTGTGGGTATCCCCGAGCCCGTAGGCTCGGCCAAAAAAATAGCCTTTGAAGCCGATTAGACGGGTTCAGGCCCTGTCTACCTCCCCGGACGAAACCTTGCCCTTCGGCAAAGGCTTGTCCGGGTTCCTCTCTGCTAACGCAGAGAGTTCGACAGAAGGCGCGCGCAATCAAAGACCGCTAAACACCACTATAGAACCCAGTCTGTTCTGCTATTTACCCATAGCTGTGGGGGGAGAAGAAGAGGGTATTAACACATAAGTGAATGTAATGGCTTCGACTAGAATTCGAACTCGGCTCTCGAATTCTTCAATCCGTACCACTATCCCTTACCCCACCGGGTCTTATCACAGAATTATATTTACCAAACTCAATTCACTAGCCATTGTCGCATTTAGGTTCGCTCTTTTCTCGGATGTTAACTTAGTTAACGTTTGAGTAGTTTTTTTTTTTAATATGATTTTTCTTCTATGTGCCATGTCCCTTCAGAACGTTGGTGATCATAGCTCTCCACAATTTCCTGTTCTTTATAGTGTTTATTAATTTTTGTATTTTCGTTACCTCTCGTAAACCTCGATCCCCCATACATTTACTCAAGCTTGCTATGTGGGTTTTGCGTTGTTTTTCTCTGTCCCTGTTGCCTTCAATCTGTCCGGTGAGTATCAAATTTTTCAAGCCCTCTTTCCTCATTATGTAGCCTAGAAACTTCAACGGTCTCTGTCTGATGTTATTTATGTTTCCTTTTTGTTTCCATTTTCTCACATGTTCTGTCTATGGTATTCTCAGCATCTTTCTGTAAATTCACCTTTCTTTTGCTTCAAGTCTCTTCATCTGAGAGGAGATGGTCCAGCCATATAGGAGTACTGATATGACGTAGGTATATTCAATATTTTGGTAAAAAAGAGCATACCCTGATGGAAAAAGACCCTAAACATGATAAATGTTTATGTTAATATTAAGAGGAAAGACCAAAGTATTTTTTGATCCATTTTTAAATTTTTTAATCATTCCTAGCACGTCAGAAATGTTAGTTAAATATCTTGTTTTTTTTTTTTTAGTCAGCAAAACTTAATAAAATTGATCATGTAAGCCATTTTTGACAGCTCTGTAAACAAAAATGAAATTCTCCGCTTAAAGATCTTCTAAAATTCAATTATAATTTTTTCAAAAGTTATTTTAGGAAACTTAGAATATTTAAAATATACTTAATATAGTTGGAAGCAAACATTACTTAATTTTTAGCAGAAAAAATAGTTGGAAATAAGACAAGCATGTGTAACCGTGATGATTGGTTTTGGATGTCTGAATTGACATTAACGTCAATGTATCGACAACTAACGCCAGGGCATTTTATCGGACGGGAGGACAGAAGTGACAGTATTTTTTTAATTTTAAGTGAGCCAGCTTATTTAACTATAAAGTAATTCTTAAAA